CCCCAAAACCCCAAAACCCCAAAACCCCAAAACCCCAAAAATATTTATTGTAGTTGAAGCCTAGCATTAATATAATTTTTATTATTTAGGACACTTATAAATGAGAAGAAACCTTTCGCAAAAGCGTCATTCCTTAGGAAATCCCATGCAATCAATCACATCAATGAGAGCTACATTAAAGCAAAGATCGTTGAAATAAAATCAAGGGCAAAATACAGAAGGAACTCGATCAAATGTGTGATTTGATAACATTAACTCAAACAAGAGCCTCAGCCCAAAATTTCTCTCCGACTTCGTATTTTGGACTTAATAAAGAAGGATCGATAATTGAAATAGAGAATCATGAAGCTGGAAATGCTATTATTTGAGAAGCTCCTAAAACTAAATCTAATTCATCCAGAAAGAGAAGGATTCATGAAAGACGAAGCTATGACTTCCAAAATGGCTTTAATAACCCCCTCAAAGCTCATGAAGCTAGGCTAAATGCAAAGGATTATATCCTCAACATCGAAAGGCCAGGGACAGCGGTGGTACCTTCAAACGGAATTCAGAATTCCCTGAATCCCAATTTTACCTTAACTGAACCAAAAAGGAAAGTTTGCGATAAAATACCTTATAAGTATCAAAGGTATACCCTTACAACCCAAATTCCTGATTTTACTACTCAAAAATTTATAAAAGGGGTTAGTTTACAAAAATATGAATCCCTGCCGACACATAAACCTCCAAAGAGTATCTTCGCTACTGAAAAGACTCCTGGAGAGAGTCCAGTGACTCCTAAAGCCAATAAACCAAAAAAGGCTCATAAATTAACAAAGGAGCAAAAACTAAAAGTAAAACAAAAGGATATTCAGAAAGTTTTCAATAAACTAGCGACTATTGCCAGAGAGAATCTCAGACAAAAGAGTCATATAGAAAACCCCAGTCCTCAAGAGCTACTCACCAATTTCAAAGGAATCGAGCTTCTCAGTGAAGCCAAGGGGATAAGTACACACAGAACTCCAGGTAAAATTACTTCTTATGTACCTAGACAAAAATCAGAAGCAAGATAAGTACTTCAAAGTAGCACCTAAGTTCAAGAACTTTGAAAGATCATTAAGAAAGAAGCCAGTGACGCCTCTCAAGCCTGAAGCTGCTTCTAAAAGAACATCCTTCATGTTCTCAAGAGAAGGTTTTAAATAAAAAGAACTGAGAGTAAGAAACTTTTAAAGTTTTGAGTCAGTAAAAATCCAGTTTTATAATACTAGTACTAACCTGAATAGAGAGGTATATCTTAATAATTGGAAAATAAAGAAGAGCAGAGCTAAGAACTGTAACATTAAGAAGTCTAAAATATCATTTACAAAGAAAGCAAAGAGTCCCAAGAGAGCAAAGTTGGAACTCCGGAATAATACTGAGAATGGATTACAATCGGCACAGACTATGAAAACTCCTCAAAAGAACTTGAAAGTTTCTAATTCAGCAAGCTTTGGTAGGTTTACACAAAGAAAAACTTCTCAAGCTCAAGCATTAATTGGAAAACTGGATCAGAACCTTGAATTAGAAGTAGAGAGAAGGGTTCCAGAGGTTCAAGCTACTTTGAGAAATCTTTTCAGTTGAAATAACTCTCCTGATAACACTCATATCATACAGAAGAATCTTTCCCCTTCCATGCATATTACTAGAAAGACTTCAAAGGGGCCTTCCAAGAAGCATCACATGGGGATCGTAGAAGCTTTACTAGGCTCTATGGAAGCTTTCTCTGAAGACTTAAAGAAGGAGGCTCCGACTATTACTCAGAAAATAACTCATCTCTCAAGCTTAGTTTCATCCAAGGATTTTTCCTTAAACCGTCTTTTGAACGACGCTGATTCCGAAATGCTCCAAGTCTTCCGGTACTCTGCTCTTTTAATCCTTGTAGGCAAAGAACCGCCCATTTGAATCTATCTCCTTCAGCATTGTATCAGAAGTTACAAGTCTTTAAGCAGAAACTTCAGGATGAGTTCTCACAAGACCAACAGATTCTTGAAAGTCATATTAACAACGAAATGAAGGAAGAAAATTACTTAAAAATCATCAAACTCGAACGTATCATCAACAAATATACCTCTAAATTCCGAATGAGCAACAAACAGAAGAAGGTATATTTCCCTTAAGAAATCTTCAGGATTTTGGCTTATGAAAGTTTCAATCTGGCTTAAAAGCTTAGGGGTTTTGGGGTTTTGGGGTTTTGGGGTTTTGGGG